GGTGGTAAGGCTCCAAGCTCGTGGCTTGCACAGTTGTATGTAAAGCTGTTATAACAAAATGGCGACTACATAGGTAACAAGGAAAACAATACAAGGCACAGAGATAAGCCAATAAAAGTGGAAATTTTATCTCATCAATACCTTCAGATCAGATATAGCTTCTGAAATAGATTCTTTTGGGCCTAAGTAAGCCAACGCACTGACAGATCCAGCAAAGAGAAGCAGCCCAGCAACACCCTCTAAACTGCATTCTTTAGTGTAAGCACTAACTATTAGGCTCACATAGTTATATCAAGAGAAATCAACCATACAATACAACAGAAACAGCGTTAGCTGAGCACCTCCGGCAGGCAAATTGTTCTTGAATGGTACAAGCAAATCGACTTCGTGTGGGCCGTCTGAAGTGATGGTCATATCATCCGAAAACTAGTTGAAAATATGAAGAGTAATAAGTGGGTGTTAAACACAAACAAGATTAGACATTACACCATTAAATAGCTTGGAATTCATTGTGCTTCTTCAACTGAAACAAAGGTTAAGCGGTTTTAATTTACCAGATCTCCATCAATTAAGGCTTTGGCATTCTGCACTTCCTTCGTGAGATGACTGATTGCCTTTGAAATAACTTTCTTAAAAGGCTCAGCTTGAACAACTGTCAATCTATGGAAGTACATGATGTAAGTAATCAGTCCAGAATGCGGAACATGACATTCATGGATTTGCTACAGCCTACAGCACATGCGACTATGACTGATAACTGGTAAGCACAGTTGGTCGTTTCTGTATTTTATAATTTTAATAATAAAAAGGGGCAGCCTGGTGCACGTAGCTCCTGCTTGCGCAGGGTTCGGGGAAGGCTCGTTTCTGTATTTTAATATATTTAATAAAAATCTAGTTAACTTAAAATGACACCCCTTCTGACTTTGAGACATAAATGACACAAGGATTGCTTAGCTACTAGTATCAGGCAGCATTGCAAGTACCTCGTCTCAAAATTGTATGTGCATCTGAAAGTTTGAAGCGAAGCTAATAATTTGCTATATTTGAAGTCACACGGCCTTAGACTTCCTGATGCCATCTCACATATGCGACAGGCCCACCTGCAACACATCAAAAGTTTGTTATGACCTATGAGTGTATTAACAGTATCTGAGCGCGACAGATTTCCAAGGGCAATACCATTTATTGACATACAGAAATTAGGTCAATCAATGTTAAACAAGCAAGAAAAAACAAATAAGAGTTGTCGAAATCCAAGCTCAGCAGGTCCAGCATGATCAATGTGCTAAGAAGATTATGATACATTGATTTATTGGGGGAGGGGGAAGGAAACCATAGTACTAGAGAAAAATCAATACGCACCTTCTTGGGCTGTAAGAGAGATGAAGGAGCAGCCTCTCATCGAAGTCACTGCCGTACCAGGGAACTGACTGAGAAACCACTCTGATAACCTGGGAAATAACATCAGTTGATAATCTGTACAATGAAAATGTCCTAGTAGGGTAGTACAGAGAAAAAAAAATCAACAAGTCACCACTAAAAGATCATACAACAATGCCAAAAGATCCTAAAACAAATGCCAGCAGAATGTGCCCCCACCCCAGAATTCAACAAATAAATCAAAAAAGAAGTTAGTAGTCAGTGTTCTAAATAATAAGGTCATTATGGCATTGTGAAAGGCAGTTTACAAGGTAAAAAAGTAGCCTGCCCGTTTGTTCAAGTTGATATTATGCCAAAATTATTTAAGCAAGGACCACAAAACCTAGCCGGTAGGTACAGAAAGATAACAGGCATAGGTCGGTACATCAGGTTGGTTAATGGCCGAGCTTTATTTGAAAGATAAAAGTGATGAGGCCAACATGAGGGTATCTATTTTAGTAAACAAGCGTTGATCACTTTCTAGCATTGTTTTCTATTTTTGTTCTCATCACAAAGTATATAGCATGGAATGGAACATCTAATACGTAGTATTCACCAAGCCTAACTTGGTAAAATTCTCTCCATTCTATGGTGCTATGGAAAAAAACTGGAACTTGAGTTCCATTATATCTTCTTGGAAACTTGTTTTGTTAACATATAAATATGTGTACATACATTTATATATGGAACCCGTATGACAACCGTCGAAATATTGCTTCTCCCTCACTCCCCGAGGCGCTCCCGCGGGGGCCCCTGGGAGGAACCTAGCGCCGCCTCCCAACTCCCTTCGCCTCAGCCCCCTCCCTCGCCGCCGTGATATACATACCCTCAATATACAAGGCGTTGGCGGCGGCGGGGCGGTTCCTCCCGCACACAGCTGGGGGCTTCGCGGGGCGCCTCCCATTTGCCTGGTGGCGTCGGGCGTCGGGCCTGCCCTGCTCCACCCCTCCCCTCCTCCCGACGCCTTGTGGTCGCCAGCGCCGCCTCATCCCCTCCCTCCGGCGTGGCTCGGGCCTCCGGTGCCCTGGGGCGGACTGGACTGGCGGCGGATCTTGCCCCCCTGCGCTGTTCTGGCTGGTGGTAGGTGGCGTGGGTTGCGGATGTGGCGCAGATCCGGTGGATGGGGGTAGGTGGCGGGGGTTGCGGATCTGGCGCAGATCCGGTGGATGGGGTGGGTAGGCGTTGGTTGGGGTCGCCGGCGGCCCTTTTGAGGTGGAGGTGTTGCGGCTGGTGTCTCCGTTGCTCCGGTGCGGGGTGGCGGGGCTCCAGGCGGATTTGACCAGGGTGTGGAGACGCTGGTGCTGTGGTGGTGGCAGATCGACTGCGGCGGCAGCTGGCTTCTTCCGGCGTCGGCCGTTTGTAGGCGGTCTGTGTCGGCCTTCGACCCCTTCCCTCGTTGTCCGGGCACTACCTTCGTCGTTGGGTCGGTTATTTCCCAGTTATGGTCAATCGCTCGTCTCGCGCCCGGTGATGCAAGATGGAGCTCGTCTCGCGCCCGACAGCAGGACTGACCTCGTCTCGCGCCCGGCAGCAGGACCGAGCTTGTCTCGCGCCCGGCAACAAGACCGAGCTCGTCTCGCGCCCCGGTACGGCAAGACGGGTTGATGGAGGCTAGTTTTGGCCGGCTTATTTGGTCCCGGCACTGGGGGACGCCCAGGGATGCGGTGTCCGCTCGTATCTTGGGGATAGCGTCTAGGCTCGGGCGAGGTGGTGTCAAGGTTTTGGTTGCCGGGGCGGCGGCCCTGGTGGTGGTACCGCGGTGCTCTTGGGCAGAGTCCGCGGCTTGGTGCTGCCCGGTGGCCATGGCCGTGTGGGCGGCGTGGTCACCGGGGTGTGGCGTTCGGTGGCGGTGAGTGTTGGCCAGGGTGAAAACCTGATCTATCTTCGGACGGACCAACGGCGCGAACATCGTTCCCTTCCTGAAGGCGTCGTCACGGCTCTCATTGCCTGTTGTGTTGCTCCAGGGGAAACTCTGACCCTCGGGTCGGGCGGTGGCGGCGCTCTGGTGTCATAAGTCATAACCTTCCTGAAGGCGCCGCCTTGGAGCCCTCAGTTCGTCATATGTGGCCTCATCCCTTCATGGTGGCGTGTTCACGATGGAGGACCCCGGTGTCTCTTGTAGTGCTAGGGGTGGTGTTGCTGCGCTCGGCGCCTATGTATCTTGTCTTGGGTGTGTGTGTTGTGGTGGCGTGCGTTTGTACCTGGATGTGGATGATCATTGCTTTATATATAAAGCGGGTGAAAGCCTTTTTCGGTACATACCCTCAATTCCAAATAGCAAACCCATGTACGAGCTAGTTTGCAACACTAGTGCCACTATTCAGGACATTGTTGGCACCTGTGATGAAACATCAGGCGAAATGTTGGTACCTGTGATAAAACAGCAGAAGGAGTAGCTTTGAAGGAGCCTTCAGAAGACCATATATAGATACCTATGACACTCATTCCTCCAAGGAGCATCCTTGAGACCTGCAGACCGTAAGAAGATTCACCAGTATTACCAAATATGTAGTTATTCCGAGTCGACATGACCAAATAAAGTTGTGCTACCGTAGTATGATCTCGAGCAAAGATATGGCCGAATTTTCAATGTAGTTGCGCAAGCAACTCGAACTGGACAGAAATTGTTGGGACTGCCACACTACAGTCTGAAACTTACAGGAGAGTACTAAAGATAAAATGTCACCTAAGAAACCAAAGATATCACTTGCAAATTTTGATGGATTCTATTGTTTTCCTACAGCTGCAGCTATTAGTAACGTCAGAGGTTTGTAGACGGTAACAAGTCAGGGCTGGACACTGCACCTGTCGGGCGTGCTCGGCGACCCAGTCGACATCGAACTGGAGAGTCGGCGGCGCGTCGTTAGAAGCCCCGGCGCCACCTTTCCCGCCCTTGGACTTGGCCTTGCCAGCAGAGGGGGCAGCGGCCCGGAGGGAGCAAGCGGGCTCGCCGGCATCGGTGGGCGGCGTGGGGAGCAGGGAGTAGACGAGGGCGCGGTCGGAGGAGGCGCTGAGCTTCCCGACCACCAGCCCCACCTGCACGCGGAAGAACCGATGAAACCAAACCAAACCACACGCCCACGGCACGGCGACGGCGGCCTCAGATGCGACAGGAAGAGCACGAGGAGGAAGGGAAGTGACCTGCGATCGAAGGACGCCGGAGGAGGCGACGCCGTCCTCGAAGGCCTTGACGCGCGCCTCGTCGGCGACGACCGCCTTCACCATCGCTTCGCGGCGGAGGGCGATCTGGTCTGGACTGGAGGAGCGGCGGACGGCGAGGAGTCGTCGTCACGACTTCACGTGACGCAACATGCGGCCCCACCGCTTTTCCACCTCATTCACGTAAACCGAGATGGCCCCGCTTTCCGCCAAGAGGTCACGTAAACAGTGGAGTCCGCTTTCGAGTTGCGATATCACTGGCAGTGGCACTGTGGCAGGCAGCCGCAGTGAGGCGGAAGCTAGCAAGCGGCAGCAGCACTTTCCCCCCTCGCTCCTTTCACCTGTGACCCGAGGAGGAAGGAGGAGGCGGCGAGCCGGCGACCTGCTCCAATTCAGAGGAGCTGAGCTGTGGCAAGGGCATAATGCGGGGGCCCCTCGGCCGCGACGCCTCCGCCGCCGGCGCCGGGGGAGGAAAAGGAGAAGACGACGCCGCAGCCGGCATCATTCGCCACGACCGCAAGTGCCGGGACCTGCCGTTCCTCGCCCTCTTCGCCGCCTTCTGGGTCGCCATGATTGTCAACTCCAGCTTCGGGTTCAACCAGGGCAGCCCGCTCAGGTCGCTCCATTCCCCTTCCTTTTTCTCTTGCATTTACTATTTTTCTGCCGCTGTCGGTGCCGACTAGCTGCGATTAATTTTGCCCTTTTTGGGTGGATTCCGTCGGTGAAGGTCTGTCACATTTGCCAAATTCTCTCATATTTAGGTTAGATCTTCCAAGGATGGGTACAGCCTAGGGGCTAAAACTTGTCTCCTGCTCTTCCACTTTTTGCTCCTTAGTCACTTTTGATGTTTACTACCTCCAACTAACAGTAGAAATAGCTTGTGGAAAATGCAAGTGAGGTGCTTGTTGCCTAGTGTGGAGCTTTCCTCCACTGGATGCAATGAACCCCTAGTCTCCCTAACTGTAGGATTTGTGGGTTTTGCCAAATAAGGTGAATCCTTGCTTACATTTTCTCCTCCAATTGTAGACACTCATCAAGTAAATGCTGAGCTTTTGGTTGTTCCGTGGTCAATCAGTGGTGCTTAAAATGGTCTGTTGCCTACATTGCCCTCCTTCACAATTTATTTATCTTTGCAACCCATGTAAGGAGATGCAGAGATTTGTTGCTGTAGTTGGGTGCTCCTACGAACATGAGGTCCCCACAAAGGAAGGGGTGATTTTACAGGGTGGAAGTTGAATAGAACGTCGTTTGTTACAAACATTTCGTGCGCAGCTGTTCATTATTTTTGGAATTTATAGTGGTCTTTGTTGGTGAAGACATCTATATTTGTTTTTTCTCTGCTCTGATCATGCAGGCTGACTTATGGACTGGACTACAAAGGGAACATATGTGGCAGCAAACACGGTGATCCAGATTTGAGTGAGCTGGATGTTCGTTACTGGGTGAACCCCAACCAGGTGTATCAAAGTGGGCTCAAAAATAGCACAAGTGATCTAGCTGATGCTAAGTCCATCTGCCTGATGGAATGCCCCTATCCTGCGGAAGATGGCCTGAACTTTGTTTGTGATTATCCGGAAGGCGACATACGGCTCTCTGTCGATGATTGGATCGACAGGGACTATGATTACTTTGAGTATCTCACGCCAGATATGAGAAACAGTTCTCTTCAGTTGCAGGGTCCATGTTACCCCATCATATTTCCAAGTATAAATGGTAAGTCTCACATGAATAATTGAACATCAAATCCTCTGATACTCAGCAAGATCCTGCCAATTTGTGAGAACGTAAAGTGTATATGTGCTAATTTGTTCTCTTTCTGTCACTGCAGTCTACTGGAGCTGCCAGTTTATTGCAAGGCCATCCAATGTTTCTCTGAAGCATTGGCAGCAGATGGGTGGTGTCAGCATTGATGAAAACATGCTAATAGACAAGACAATTCACAATACCATCAACTATAAATCTTCTGTCTTAAAGGTCTGTCTTGGTACTACTTGCACTATCGGTCCATTTATCTGTTTCACAAAAAATATTTTTTTCCTGAGTTCCTATCCAACGTGTCTGTCCATATATAGTTAAAGCATACTTCTCTTCTATGGTGAACATTATTTCACTGCAAGTTACACAACATTAAATGTTCTTTCAATAAGGAAACACTAGCAGACACGTTGTGATTGGTATTACTTGGTTACATTAGATTCAATTTGACAACTATGCTCCTGCAAAAATATATATTTTAGAGCTATGTACATGCTTTGCTTGTGTATATGTAGATTCTTGGAACTAATACATATTTTTTCTTATTTTGCAGAGATATGTTGCAGATATTGGGAAGTCCTGGCCTGTATTAATTGTTTGTGGGGGGTTACTCCCCCTTTTCCTATCTTTGATCTGGTTAGCGATGATCCGCTATTTTGTTGCTGGGATGCCATGGGTAACAGTGATCCTCTTCAATGCCCTTGTAATATCAGTCACAATGTTCTTCTATATAAAAGGTAGGATGCTCTACCTGACTTCTAAACAATAAGTACTAGTACTATACTATTATAGGTGGCAAAGTGGCATCATGTTATTTTTATCAGGACACACCATCTTATATGCAATCTCATATGTTTGGATTATTTTATGTACTCAGCTGGCTGGATTGGCAATGATCCCTTAACTGTTGTAATCGGTCCAAGTGATCCATATGTCAGCATAGGTGGACGGGTATGCTTGTACCTCCTGTTGTTATTATTTTTAACACTATCTTGCTAAGCTTCTCGTTATCTCATGATTCATCTCTTCACCAGGAAATAAACCACCTTCATGCTGCTGCTGTATTGATGACAGTGGTAATGATCATTGCTTTCCTGACTTCAATAGCTATTGTTCGGCGTATACTGATAGCGACATCCACAACCGTCCTAAAGGTGCGTATGGTGCTGAATCCACTAGCTTCACATGCACACCGTTTCCTGCAATAAGCTGTGCGGGATTACAGCTCACATTTTGCAAAAGCATGGGTGCTAGCTTATGTGTGTTGTCTATTTCTTGCTTGTATTTTCTGAGCGCTCATCAGGATGAACTGTATGTAGGTGGCTGCAAAGGTCATTGGTGAAGTCCATGCACTCATTATCTTTCCGGTCGTACCATACTTCGCCCTTGCTATCATCTATATGTTCTGGTTTGCCGCGACACTGTATCTTTTCAGCTCTGGTCAAGTTCTGCAAAATGATTGCAATGCAGAGTGCTGCTCATTTGATCTCAAGCTGGGAAAAGTAAATTGCGACAGCTGTTGTGGGTACAGTGTCCATTACACCCCTCATATTGGCATTGCAATTCTTTTCCACCTGTTTGGCTGTTACTGGGCAACGCAATTTTTCATCGCATGCTCTTCGACCGTGATTGCTGGATCAGTTGCTTCATACTACTGGGCGCGTGGTGAAATATCGGTAAGCACCACACACTAACCTTAGACTGGCAAATAACTCTTGTTTTAACATTAGAAGGTACTGTTTTCCTTACGGCTGACTGTGCGGCACAATGTTGTTATGCAGCATGACATACCATTTCATACCGTGGTCTCCTCCCTGAAGCGTTTGCTGCGCTACAGCCTTGGATCTGTGGCTCTAGGTTCACTGGTCGTATCGAGCGTAGAATGGGTGCGGTGTATACTTAAAGCGCTCCGCCGTAGGCTGAAGGGGGTTGATTCAACCGGTGAAAGCCGCCTCGGGAAGACAGTGTCATCTTCATCTCACTGCTGCTTGGGCTGCATAGACTGGACCATCAAGTCAGTGAACCGGAATGCCTATATCGTGGTAAGTACCAACAGTCCTCCTAGCTACTCATTTGTTACAACTGTCTTGTGTGGCTGTGAAAAGAATTGCGCCGATCCGAATTGGTTCCTTAACACTGTGAACTGTTGGTGCAGATTGCGGTTACGGGGAAAGGATTCTGCAAAGCCTCCGAACTCGCGACGGGGCTGATAATGAACAACATACTGCGCATCGGAAAGGTGAATGTCATCGGAGACGTGATCCTCTACCTGGGAAAGCTGTGCGTGAGCCTGTCCAGCGTGCTGTTCGCGTTCCTCATGCTGGACACCCACAAGTACAGGTCTGCTCACAACAAGATATCGTCTCCGCTGTTCCCCGTGCTGGTAAGCAAGTGATATCCTCTAAAAATACGGCGACACTCACCTATCTGTCCTAGATGCATGCATAACTGAACTTAACTTAGCTCCGGCATGACATATGTGTACATTTTGGTTGCCAGCTGTGCTGGGCGCTCGGGTACGTGGTGGCACAGCTCTTCTTCGGGGTGGTGGAGGCGTCGGTGGAGACGATAATCCTGTCCTTCTGCCAGGACGCTGAGGAGCACGACGGGGAGGCGCAGTACGCTCCCCCGCTGCTCATGGAGACGCTGGGCGACACGAGCCAGCTGCAGAGGCTCACGCAGGGCCCTTGATGGATCAAACCTTTGGGCATTGATCGACTTTGGTAGTGTAGGGTTACCAGAGGCAGCTGGTTGGGTGAATGGCTTTGACCATAATAATACTACGTGTTATACTATTAATTAACTTTGTTGTTAGGTGGAAATGGAATGCAGGCATGCCTGGCTACGGACCGTGGAAAAGACCTCTGCTACTAGTGTCGATGAAATTTCCTTTGTGATGGGGATGGCAATCGGGTACCGGATGGATGGTGGATGTTGCTCCATGTCTGACCGTTCAACCTATATCCATTCTAGGTATAGGTAGTACTGGTACTGGCTCTCGTTGTTATAATGGAGGTCTAGCAATGATGAAAGGCGATCATCATGGTGATGTGAGCACTGGTGTAAAGCAATGGAATGGATCCTCGCAAAAAATAAATGGAATGGGATTGGAAACCAAATAGGTGGTACAAGTACTAAGAAAACGTATTTCCTGCTCCTGTCGCGTGGCTGCTATGTGAATAATCCTAAGAAAACGTGCCGGTAGTCAACAGAGACTCACAATAAAATATTGTGAGATTACCCGAAGTAATAATTTAACTCTTTCAAACCCAACGGGTCTGGTGGGTTTAGATGGATGAGAATGGATGAGGGAGATTGGAGTGGAGACGAGAATGAAAATGAACTCACAGCCACCACCACCAACTCCAATTTATTTAATTTATAAAGCAGTAGACGGTCGTCTAATGATTCACATGAAGTCTACTCTACACTAGAAATTATCTACATGTGTGTGCAGGTCAACTGATTATATGTCGGCCATCTGAAATGGGAATTGCCAGCTTGTCAACGTCGCGCGCTACCATTTAATCTAGTGCACACAAAGCAAAATATGCCATAGCAGGCTGCTGATTGCTGCCTCCGTTCATACACAACGCCTCCTAAAAGGTCTCCGAGTCCTAGCTAGGCATCATTTCCTGTCACTCTCCGCCTCGGCCGTAGTGGAAGAGAGCTTCATATTAGAGTATTACATTCGACTTTTCCTGATGTGGCAATTCAACCAGCTTCTTCTTCTTCTTCTTCTCCATGTCTGATCACTCGCCATCACCGGCTTCTTCTTCTCCATACAGGAGTTAGTCTGATCCTGAGCTAGAAAGGAACTCTCTCTGGTGTTGTGTATTATACATGGTCGAGTCGCCATGCCTTGTTGCTCTTGCTGCTTCGGCGTTTCCAACAAGAAAGAGAAACACGCCTCCGATCTCTACTCCCGTTCCATGAGCAGTAAGCAACAGTTTTCCATTCCACGCCTTACTTGCCATTCATCGAATTGACTAACCTTTGGCTTCAGGACTGTCATCTGAGAAGAAGATCAAGCTCTTCTCCTACGCGGAGCTGCGGTCGGCGACCAACAACTTCCACCGGAGCAACCACATCGGGCGAGGCGGCTTCGGCGCCGTCTACAAGGGTGCGCTGCGGGACGGCGGCGGCGACGTGGCGGTCAAGGTGCTGTCCGCGCACTCCCGGCAGGGCACCAGGGAGTTCCTCACCGAGATCGACGTCATCGCCAACGTGGACCACCCCAACCTGGTGTCCCTGCTGGGCTGCTGCGTGGAGGGCCGCCACCGCATCCTCGTCTACGAGCTCCTCCGCAACGGCAGCCTCCACGGCGCCCTCCTCGCCTCCGCCAGCGACCCCTCCAGGCTCACCTGGGCGATCAGGCGCGGCGTGTGCGTCGGCGTCGCCAGGGGCCTGGCGTTCCTGCACGAGGAGATGGGGTCCGGCCCCATCGTGCACAGGGACATTAAGGCCAGCAACGTCCTCCTCGACGCCGGCTACGGCGCCAAGATCGGCGACTTCGGCCTCGCCAAGCTCTTCCCGGACGCCGCCACGCACGTCAGCACCCGCGTCGCGGGGACCGCGGGGTACCTCGCCCCGGAGTACGCGCTGTACGGCCATCTCACCAAGAAGGCCGACGTCTACAGCTTCGGGGTGCTGCTGCTGGAGACCGTCACCGGCAAGAGCAGCTCCAGGAGCCTCCATTTATCCGACGAGGGGGACAAGGTGCTGGTGGAGAGGGTGTGGGAGCTCTACCAGGCAGCCAACCTCAGGGACATGATCGACCCGGCGATGGAAGACGGGTGCAGCGAGGAAGAGGCTGTGAAGTACATGAAGGTGGCGCTGCTGTGCACTCAGGCGACGCCGCTGCGGCGGCCGTCGATGCCGCGGGTGCTGGAGATGCTGGAGAGGGAGGATGTCCGGTTGAGGGAGAAAGAGCTCACGGCGCCGGGCTACGTCCTCAGGGACAACAAGGACAGCCACTCCACATCCATGGTCGTTGCTTCGCACACCTTGACGGAGTTAGCGCCAAGGTAAAAAAGGTTCGACCGTTCTGAGTAACTAGCTAGCTAGTAGTAATAGGATTGAACTGACAAGCAGAGACATCAACCACACACTGAGAGGGTCTAGCAGTCCTTGCCATGAATGATACCATCATTGTTTTTTCTTCGATAAGAGCCAAAAATGCATTTGGCCTTTGCGTCGATGTATGCATGCAACCATTTTTAGTATTGTTCCATAATTTTGTAAGGCAGCCCTTTGATTGAGTAATCCTATTAGGGAGCAACCTGCGCATTGCTTTTTCATTAGAAAAGGGGGAATTGCTTCTATAAAGGATGTTGGAATACCCGCCTTCCTAGGCTCTCCATGGACGAAAAATGAATGATCGGTAAAAGTAATTCTCCGCGGAGGGATTACTTCTATTAAGAGTCTAGCAGTCCTTCCCATGAACGATACCACCATTGTTTTTTTCTTCGAAGGGCAACAAATGCCTCTGGCCTTTGCATTGATGTATGGCATGCAACCATTTTAATTGCAATTGTTTTAATCTTTATAAGCAAATGAAACTAAAAGAAACTTGAAGGGAATCGACCACAACCCATTATATCCGTGAAGTATACTTTTACCGGTAAAGAAGTGTGTACCGATAAGAAAACTGTCGTTGCTGAATGCTTGAAGATCGGCGCATGGGCCACATGTTTCTCCTCATTCTTTTCCTGTACGAAACGAATATCAAACCAAATACGGCGGAGGTCCCACCCACGTCACTGTCCTTCACATGCACACATGCAGTAATGTACCAGACCCAATCTCTCTCTTTTCTCATACAAGAACCCTAAGGGGAACGAATATCAACTGTGTTTCTCGGCTCCTATAAAAGTATGCCGAGGGGATCCTCCCCCTCTGGACTCCTTTTCCTTTTTCTTTTCACATGCAAAAAAAGAACATTTTATTTCACTTGGCTAATTTAAACCATCCATATTTTTTAAATCATATGTTTGTTTTGAAACTTCTTATATATTTGAACTCCTCGTGCCAAAGCCTTTTGAATAAGATCAATCTTGGATATTTTTCGAACATGTTTAAATTGCATGTGCTGCTGATGGAGACCGTCACCGGCAAGAGCAGCTCCAAAGAGCCTCCATTTATCCGACGAGGGGGACAAGTGTTGGGAAACATAGCATGCAATTTAAAAAAAATTCCTGCGCTCGCGCAAGATCTATCTAGGAGATGCATAGCAACGAGAGGAGGAGAGTGTGTCCACGTACCATCATAGACCCAAAGCGGAAGCGTTTGTTAACACGGTTGATGTAGTCGAACTTCTTCTCGTTCCAACCGATCAAGTACCGAACGTACGGCACCTCCGAGTTCTACACACGTTTAGCTCGATATTGCCCCTCGAACTCTTGATCCAGCAAAGTGTCGAGGGAGAGTTGCGTCAGCACGACGGCGTGGTGGCGCTGATGATGAAGTGATCCTCGCAGGGGTTCGCCTAAGCACTACGTGAATATGACTGGAGGCGTAAACTGTGAAGGGGGACGCCACACACGGCTAGGAATAGTTGATGTGTGTTCTAGGCGCCCCCTCCCCACATATATAAAGGAGGGAGGGGGGAGAGGCAGCCCTAGGCGCTCCCAAGTAGGAGGAATCCTACTTGGGTTCCTAGTAGGATTCGGCCTCCCCCTTTTCCTTTTACCGAAAGGGGGAGAAGGGAAGAGAGGGGGGAAGAAGGAAAGAGGGGGGTGCCGCCCCCTCCTCCTAATCCTATTCGGCCTCCTTCCTTGGGGGGGGGGGGCGCCATCCCTTTGTGGGCTGGTGTGCTCCCTCCTAAGGCCCATATAGCTCATATCTTCCCCCGGGGGGTTCCGATAACCCCCCCTCCCCCGTACTCCGATATGTACCCGATACATTACGGTGTCCCAATACTATCATCCACTATATCAATGTTTACCTCTCGACCATTTTGAGACTCCTCGTCATGTCCGTGATCTCATCCGGGACTCCAAACAACATTCGGTCACCAAATCACATAACCCGTATAATACAAATCGTCATCGAACGTTAAGCATGCGGACCCTACGGGTTCACGAACTATGTAGACATGACCGAGACACCTCTCCGATCAATAACCAACAACGGAACTTGGATGCTCATATTGGCTCCCACATATTCTATGAAGATCTTTATCGGTCGAACCATTATGACAACATATGTTATTCCCTTTGTCATCAGTATGTTACTTGCCCGAGATTCGACTGTCGGTATCTTCATACCTAGTTCAATCTTGTTACCGGCAAGTATCTTTACTCGTTCCGTAATGCATCATCCCGTAACTAACTCATTAGTCACATTGCTTGCAAGGCTTATTATGATGTGCATTACCGAGAGGGCCCAGAGATACCTCTCCGATACTCGGAGTGACAAATCCTAATCTCGATCTATGCCAACCCAACAAACACCTTCGGAGATACCTGTAGAGCATCTTTATAATCACCGAGTTACGTTGTGACGTTTGATAGCACACAAGGCATTCCTCCAGTATCCTGGAGTTGCATAATCTCATAATCGGAGGAATATGTATTTGCCAGAAGAAAGCAGTAGCAATAAAACTGAACGATCATTATGCTAAGCTAACGTATGGGTCTTGTCCATCACATCATTCTCCTAATGATGTGATCCCATTTATCAAATGACAA